GCGTGATTGCCGACAGCTTTAGATATTTAGCATGGCAAATATTTCACGGGCGTCGGCGACGTGTCGGCGATTCGCTCAGATCGCATCTTTGATAATTCACACTGCGTGATTGTCACTCGCGTGAACGAGCACCGATTTGCCTCCGATGTCGGGCATTTGTCGGCGATTTCGCAAAACCTGTCGCCGAGTGAAAAATCAGGCTAAAATCGTGCAGTGTGAACTCTGCATTAGATAACGATGCTTCTGGAAAACATTAACTTAACTTTAACTTTCACTGAACTTAGAACGCCTCAGGGAACTCAGACATATTTAATATCATGTTTAAGGCTTCACAAATGATATCTGTAAATCTGTAATGCGTTCACTTGTAGTGTGTGGAAAATGAAACTGGCATGAACCCAAATCCTTCTCGTCGCTCTTGTTGCACGATTGGCCTCATAGACGCTCTCAGTCTGTCTGACTGTCTGTCTGTCTGTCTGACTGTCTGTCTGTCTGACTGTCTGACTGTCTGTCTGTCTGTCTGTCTGTCTGTCTGTCTGACTGACTGTCTGTCTGTCTGTCTGTCTGCCTGTCTATTTATCGTTCTATCTATCGTTCTTTCTATCGTTCTATTGTTCTAACGTTCTATCTATCATCCTGTCTATTGTTCTTTCTCTGTTGTTCTTTCTATCATTCATTTTCTCATTTTATCTGTCATTCTTTCTGTTGATCCACCGTTTTGTCTATTGTTCTTTGTTGTTTAATTTTATTCATAATTCTTTCAATTTTTTATCTATTGTTCTATCATTCTATTGTTCTATGTATCTGTTATTTTTGTCAAGCTGTTGTTTTTCCATCCTTTTATTGTTTTTTCTCTTTCCATTGTTCTATACTGCATGTATATGTGTGTTTAATAATTACAATCTTTTATTGATATTACTAGTATTATATTAATATAGTATTATATAATTATTAATCTATTGTACATTTTTTAAATATCAGTGATGATCTGAGTATGTGAGTATAATTATCAGACATAAAAGCTATGTTATTAAAACCTACTTTTGTGAATTGGTTTCATTAATATATATTTACATACTGGTTTCCAAAGAAAATTCCCTCACGGACCGCCACTGCTCACTGGAATAATTTTACAGAACATGCATATGTTTAGAACTCACCATATTACTACTTGAATATGCAGGAAATGGGATGTTGAGCCATGGTGCTTGTGTGGGCTTCATGA